TGAGACTCCAACTCAAAAAAAAAAAAAAAAAATAGAATTGTCTAATAATGATAAATTTTGTTACCAAACCGAATTTAATTAATTTGATTTCTTTCATTTAATGCTACAGTCCATCTGAAACCTATTTTAGTATATAAGGAGCTCAGCAGGTAGATGCCCTAAAATATTAACATTGATTACATTTAGGAATTGATATTTGGAGTAATTTTTGGTTTCATCTTTATATTCCTATAGAACATATATATTGCATTTATTCTTTTTTAAAAAGATAGGAAAGTTTGCAAAAATAAAGTCTTTCCTCTTTTAAAAAAATCAGACTACGATCTCTATGTTACCTTCAAGGCCATCACCCTCGACAGCTCCTAGGATATCACTTGTACTGTGGTTGGTGTAAATGACAGCACCTGGGGTTATACCATGCATGGACTGTGGAGCTGTGCACAGCAGCTCTGGCCATCTTTTAGCATTTTGCCATTTTTCTTCTTTTTAAATAACTGTTTTTCTTCTAATTATAAAATTATCACATAACATTAGCACAAATGGGGAAAACGTGACAAAGTGCTCACACAAAAACTGTCTGCAGTCCCACTGCCCAAGGTAATTATGCCTTGCTTGTTTCTAATCTAAAATAGCAGCTAATCCAGTCTTATCATTCTGACTTCTTCTTCTTAAGCATTATAGTATCAATCTTTTTTGAATGTTATTAAGCTTTTTATACGCCATTTGTAATGCCTACAAAATATTTTGAACCATGCATGTATTATCTTTAGCTTATCTTTAAGTTAAATTCAAATAAATTTAAAAATATAGATCACTGAGACGAGCAATTTTACTCCCAAATCTTTGTCCTTATTTCAGATTATTTGCTTGAGATAAGAATGGTGAAGAAAGTATGACTATCATTATGCTTTTTAATACAGGTGGTTTAAATTGTTTTTTAAAAAGCGTGTTTCAATTTACACTCTCACTAGAAATATATGCTCTCTCATATTACCAAGACCTTGCCAGGAAAGAATAAACACATATTCCAAAAATGAATTGTTGTTCATTTGGTAGGAAGGAAAAAAAGCTACATTCATGTATTTAAAATTTATTTTTCAATTTCTTTGATTATGAAATAAATTTAAATTATTCATGCGTTTATCATCCATTTTTATTTTCTCTTGTGTAACTGACTTTTCTTGTACTTTGTGTATTTTTCTTTTGGGATGTTTTATTTTGTCACTTAAATCAACTTTTGTTATTTAATTCAATTTACAGAACTTATTATATATTAATGGTATTATCCATTCATCTAGTATTTGTAGTATATATATTTCCAGTCTGGCATATTATTTCTCTTTCCAGTTGATGTATTGATTGTTTTAATATTTATGAGCTCAGATCTATTACGTGCTTCCTTTGCATTTCCTTCCACAGTTTTCATTCTTAGAAAGCCCTTCCCCAGTCAGAGATCAGATTCATCTCTATTTCCGTATGTTCTTTTATGATTTCTTTTCTTTCATGTAATTCTAACATCCATCTGAAATATACTTTGGTATATGGTGAGCTGTAAGAATCTAAATTGATTTTTGTTTTTCCAAAGAGCTAGGCAATTTACCCAATTGTCTTAGGAATAATCCATTCACTGCCCATCGTTTTTCAGTGCCTCTTTTGTGCTTGATCTTACTTTGATTATAAGAAAAAACATGCTTTTGTTTTGAAGAAGAAAAGACAAGACAGGTAGGACCTATTAATATCTACTGTGGCATGCCAGGTACTGTTCTAAGAACTCTACATATCGTAGATCATTATATCTCCTAACGACCCTATAGAGTAGAAACTTTCATTCCTCCTATTTTATTTATAGATGAGGGGGGAGAAGCCACACAGGTGGCAAAAGTCCACTAGGATTGGAATCCAGCAGGCTGGCTCCCGGGTTTTCACGCATCCCTCACCACCATGGACAATGCCTGCCCCTGCAAGAAGGGAGCGTCCCATCCAAAGTCCAGTGCAGGAGGGTCACTACTCCACACCCTGGCCATTTAACCCGCAGTTGATTTGCTTTCTATAAAAGACATCAGGCACATAATAGGAAAACCCACCATTACGGAAAAATGTAAACATTCTACGTCAAAGGAAGTCTTCTTAACATCAGCCTGGTAGTCACCAGGCGCCCTGGGAAGCCCTGGGGAGAAAACCAAATTGTAGAGCCAGTGGAGTCTCTCTACCAGGTTTGCACCTGGCTCCCAGGCCTGACTTTGTGTCACCAATTCCATCTCCAAAGAGGCACCACAAGAAACTAATACGGTAGGTGCTCAGGTAATAAGGATGCTTTCAGCAATGGTACTTGCGATATTTTAAAATTAGAAACAACACAAAGATCCTCGTTCTCAAGCAAAGCACAGCATATACAAAAAGTGGGACCATACATAGCCATTGATAATGTGGCAGGAAAAAATGTTTAATGACACAGGAAAATATTATCTGTATATTATTGAGTAACATTTCAAATTATTAGGCATTGTGGACAGCATGGTTTTAGTAAAACCATATACACACGTGTGTGTGTATGTATGTATGGACACTCATCTATAAATACATGTGCATGTGCATGCACACACACACACACACATACACACACACAGTAGAGAGGACAGTACTTCAAAATGTACAGGGTTAGGGTTAGGGTTAGGGTTAAGGTTAGAATGCCCATGTCCAATCTTGGCTCCATGATGTATAAGCTCTGTGATCTTATGTAAATTATGTAATTTCTCTAAGTCTCAGTGTTTCTATCAATAAAATAGGAATAATGCTACTATCTCCTAGGATGAGGGCAAAATGAATTTGTATGTGGAAAGCACTTAGACTAGTGCCTGACACTTTGAAAGCACCGAACAATGTTCCTTGTTATTACTATTATTATTTTAAAATTTTCTAAAACTCTATTCATAGTATTTGTCATAAGAGAAAAAGCACTTTCTTTTAATGTTGAGAAAGGTGATATTGTCTCACCATAGAGAATCTGAGAAGACCATCTCCCTCCTTTCTTTGCTGCCAAGTGGCTCCAGTTCACAGCCCTGGGTAGCGGAAGGCTCTAGTCCCTGCCTCTCTTTACACCCAATTTCCTGCTCTACATCTCCACTTACAGGTCCCAGAGGACCTCAAAGTCAAAATGTCCTAAACAAAATCCATCATCTACTACATACTTCCGGCAGAGAAGGCAGCCGCAGCTTTTCATCCATGTTTCCCACCCTATTGCCAGCTGGAAAGAGCCTTGCTGTCTAGGACCTTCACTTCTAAAAAAACACTCGTTGAATGAATGAGTGATTGCATTTTCTCCCAGCAGAGCAAATGATCCACGGCACATTGAACAGCAATCCAAGCAAAAGCATGCAGGGTCTTAATTACCTCCCCGTATGCAATGGTGTTATTGTATCTTCTCATTTCTGGATAAACGTGATCCAGGTACCACTGGAAATTCTTACATTTTAAACTTTTTCTTAATGCTCTTCTTTCGGAGACATCGCCTATGTCAATTCCTGGATTCTGAAAGCAGAGAAAAGCAAAGGGATGTTGGTGACTGTGGAGCTCTGACCAGGGAGGGGCCCAGGTGGAGTCACTTTCAGGCAAAACTTCAGAGAGATCTCAAGGCTTGATGCTTACTCAAAAGGTTGGATGAGGAAATCCATTTGAGTCATCTAGACTCAGGCCAGAGCATCCTTTTCCCGGAGCAAAGTCAGAAAATAATTCAGGAACAAAGTCAGGAAAGACGCTTCCAGACGAGCAGGCCATTCTTGACCATCACCATGTGAGTGGGTTCCTGGGACACACTGATGTTGATGACCTATTCTGAGTTCCTTCTCTCCTACATTTCCTCAGTAACTACCAGAGCCAATTATTAGAGGAATCATTCGATTAAAATGAGAAAATAAATACCTACAACCACCTCCAGTCTATCTTTTCCACACATGCGTGATTTCCCCCTTTGTTGGCTCTTTGTGAAGTTCATTATATGCAGAAGTAAAAATAATTTTCCATTGCAAAGCTTGTAATGATGTTCTAATGAATAATTCACTCTGCTTTAACAGAAATGAACCTGTAATGGCTACAGTGTGCTGACAGGGGAAAATAAAGTATCTGAAATATGATTCCACAGAGTCAGTCACAAGATGGCCACGAATTAGTGAAGACAGGATGCGTTTTGGGGGTTCCAGAGAAGACTTCAAATTATGCCATTAAGATTGCTTCAAGCAGTCAGTGATTTTAAAGGGAAATCCCTTTAAATGTCAAACTTATTAGACTTCAAAGACAACCCTGAGAAGCAATATTTAACACTGTTTCGATACACTTAGCATGATTCATGAAAATGGGCATCTTTGAAAAAGCATGGTAGGTTACCACTGGCATTTGGGACCAGAGGTTTTCTGCAATAACGGAGAAAGCACTTGACTAGAGTTAAAAGACTTGAGTTCTTGTGTGTCTAAGTCACAACACTATTCTAGGTCATGCCTCTTTCTCTGCAAAACAGGAATACTACCACCACTACTAATAATAACAATACCAATTCCACTGACTTCACAGGACTTGGGAGAGGGTTTATGAAGACCTGAATGGACATCCCTGCCCTTGTGCAATGTATAGGACCTTAAATAAGTTACCTCACAGAGCTCCAGTTTCCTCATCTGTAAAATGAACAATGTAATAGTCTGTATCAAACTCGCATTTATTGAGTACTTAATATTTGCTTAGTTCTGTTCTAAGCCTTATTTCGTCTTCATAGGAACCATAGGAGGTAAACATTAACAATCCATGTTTTATGGATGAAAAAACTGAGGCACACAGTTATTATGTCATGAGGTTGTTAGCAAATTGGTTGAGATATTGCAAATATGGAACTTACAAAGTACCTGGAGCATAGTACATGCTCAATAAATGGTACTTATCTTTATATAATAGCAACGAATAAAACACTTATAGTTTAAGAGTTAGAAATTGCTAGGTGGCCATAAGGGAGTTTTCAATTCCTTAGAATGTCTTCCAAAATTTATAACAATAATGAATACATACTTCACTTTCATCCTCTTTACCTACAAAACGTGCACACATTCAACTGTATTTCTGTTGTTCTAGACTCTAGCCTCCTGAAACCCATAGGCTACCAGGAGACTCGGGCAAGGCTGAGACATCTATGAGTGCTCTGGCTGAGGAGATAAATCAAGTTGTAGTTGAAGGTACAGGTTATCCTGCTGTTCCAAGGAGGATGAACAATGCATCCTGTGCCAAGCACTGCTGTAAGCATGTGACATGTATGAGTTCATTTAATTTGCACAATTGCCCCAGGAAGGAAGATTTGATATTATTCCCTTTTTTTTTTTCTTTTTGAGTTGGAGTCTCACTCTGTCACCCAGACTGGAGGGCAGTGGCATGCTCCTGGCCACTGCAGCCTTGACCTACTGGGCTCTGGCGATCCTTCCCCCTCAGCCTTCTAAGTAGCCGGAACCACAGGCGCGTGCTACCACGCCCGGCTAATTTTTGATTTATTGTAGAGATGAGGTCTTGCCAAGTTGCCCGAGTGGGTCTTGAACCCGCGGGCTCAGGCAATCCGCTCGCCTTGGTCTCCCAAAGTGCTGGGATTACAGGCTGAGCCTCCAAGTCCGGTTTATTCCCATTTTTTAGTGAGAGAAAGAAGGTACAGCCAGTCTTCTGTATTCATGGGTTCCACATCCATGGATTCAACTAATTGTGGATTGGAAATATTTAGAAAACAACAACAACAAAAACAATACAGCAATAAAAATAATCCCAATACAAAATACAGCATAACAACTATTTGCATAGCATTCATATTGTATTCAGTATTATAAGTAACCGGGAGACGATTTAAAGTATACAGGAGATGTGCATAGGTTGTATGCAAATACTACACAATTTTATTTAAGGGGCTTGAGCATCTGTAGATTTTGATATCTGAGAGGGTCCTGGAATAAGTCCCCCAAGGATACCAAAGGACAACTATAGAGAGAAGATGAATGGATTTGGTCAAGATGTCATAACTGGTAAGTGACAGTGCTGGGTGCAATACAAGCCACGCACAACCCCTGTGTGACAATCTTGCAGGGCTGTAGTAACATGGGAATTTTTCTTGGCTACATTCTGAGCAGATCATGGAGGAGGGCTACAGAGTCAAAGGATTTGGCATCCAGTAGGAGCATATGTCACCAGGCAGCTGGAGCTCCAGGGGAGGGCACATAGTGACCACGAATGAGGGGTCTGGTGCCAAATCTTTGGGCAGGAACCTTCTGGACACACCGTGTACTCAAGAGCAGGGCAGCCAGATTAACATAAGAAGACTGGGATTAACACAATAGAACGCTTTTAAATCTCCATAAGTGGATTTAGAGATTTCCGTCATGCCAGTCCTGGTGTAAGCAGGAGTTCTAAAATTTTGACATCTGTAAACCCCCTCAAAATGCAATCACAACTTTTTTTTTTCCAGTACCAATAAGTCTTTATTTATTTTTCCCAGGGAAAGAAGGGAAGAGAAAGAGTCAGCATGTGTGTTACAAAATGATTAGAAAATGGAATCACAACTTTTTAAGTATGAGTATCTTTCTGGGGAGGAGCCATTGGCTTATTAAAGAGATAGTGACCTGCCAAATAGTAAAGGTCACTGTTCCGAGGGGTGGGGGACAACTGCTGGGCCCTACCTCCAGCGGCAGGTTCCACGCTATGTACACGTGAGACTTGTAATCGTCCATCCAGACCTCTGCAACCCGGAGAGCATTCCTCTTGGTGTAGAAACCGATGTTGCTATTGTAGGGCTTCTTCTTCCGCTCAATGTGGGCCACCCGTGAGCAAGGAAGGACCTCCATGCTGCCCCCGCAGAGCCACACCTAGAGGTACAAAGATTTCATCAGCCTAACAGAGAAATTCCCAGAGGCCACTGCTGCCTCCCCCAGGCCCAAAAGTGATCATTCAGCCAACTCAGTATGAGTGAGAAGCACATTTTAAATATAAAGCCAATGAGATCTCAAGGTTGGCTAATTACTGCAGTATAGCCTGAACTAACTCGACTAAAACATAAAGAAAAGAAGATTTGGGAGAATTCTTACAGATACATCGGGTCCAGATATAAAATCCAGCTCTGGATAAGAGAGGCTGCTAAACTCAAGGTGCCATGGTAACACATGAGTTTTCTTAAGTTCCCAGCCGTGCACAATTAGCAGCCATAAAGGTTTTCTTTCCCACCTGGCTGAAGTTGTCCCCTGACAAGCTCGAATGAACATTTTATATGAAGAAACAGATCTTTATTCATATCAGCACAGCGTGTGTACAATGGTCTAGTTCTGCATTGTTAATATGCCTTATTTTGGAGTCCTAAGGGCACAAATGCCATGCCTTCTTGAAATATCCACCCCAGTGTCATTCTAGGCAGGCATCATTTGCTGTTGCTGAAGTATTCGGATGGAAGACTTGAAGTGAGGGCTACCTGTAAGAGATGCAAAAGTCCATGAGATATGAGACTTATCCTCTACATGGGCACGGGAGGCATCAAGGCAAGACTCTGCTCCAGGAGGAAAGTTGGACCATCCAACTTCTCTTGGTCCAGGTGGGGAAAACAAAGCACTTCTGACTGTCAAGAAGGACTCATGAGTGGACATGAACTTCTTGGTACCAGTGAGGAAAAGAGGAAAAAGGTGAAAGAGCTCCAGGGATGTGTGACGCTGTTCTGCTGTGAGGGTACTGTATGATCTACATAAGTGACACCTTGCAGGTGAGCTGACACAGGTGGGCACAGACAACGTACGCTCATCCCAAGATGGGTCACTTCAAGTTGTTCTACATTTAGTCTCCCAGAAACCTCCACATCAAGGATGATGGGACACTCATGAGTGTCTGCACACCTCCCTTGGACATTTGTTGATTTAATTTGGTGGCAAAATTCATGTGCTGTGTCTGTGTGTGATCTGTTTCTGGCTCTCAATTTTGGCTACACCACAAGGAAATAATACAGATGGAAAATTCTCCCATAAGCAGGTATCATCTCTTTGCCTGCTTCTTCCAGGAGGAAAATGTGAGCTAAGAAGATTAGTAGACAGTGGGTGGTCCAGATTTTTTGGATCTGGGACAAACTGGGTACCCCCACATGTGAGGCTAGACCGAGCTGCTGGCAGTGGAAGAAGTCAAATCAGGGAGGCAAAATGTGGCAAGACAAGAGGTCTGGGAATAAGGACAAGAAACCTGTGTCTTACAAGGTAAAACAAAATAGCTGAATTTCAAGGGATGGCAATATACAAAGATACAGGGCTTCACAGGGATGTTGCAAGATTCAGAAAATGAATGGAAAGATGTCCAATATTCCCATGTTCATGGATTGGAAGAATTAATATCTCAAGATAGAATACTCCCCAAATTGAACTAAAGATTCAGCATAATCCCTATCAAAATCCCAGCTGGCTTCATTGCAGAAATTAACAAGCTGATCCTAAAATGTAAAAAGAAATATAAGGAGCCCAAAATAGCTAAAACAATCCTAAAAAGAACAAATTTGAAGAACTTCACTTCTCAATTTCAAAACTTAATATAAAGCTACCATAATTAAGCCAGTGTGATACTGCCATAAGGATGGACATAAAGAAACAGAATAGAATTAAGGGTCTGGAAATAGACCCTCACATTTATGATCAATTGACTTTCAACCAAGAGGCCCAAAAACTTCAGTGGGAGAAAGAATAGTCTTTTCAGCAAACTGTTCTAGAACAACATCCAGAGGAATGAATTTGGACTCAAATCACACCATAATACAAAAATTAGCTCAAAATGGATCAAAGATCTAAATGTAAGAGCTAAAACTATGCAATTCTTAGAAGTAAACGTAAGGGTAAATTTTCATTTCATACCTGGGATTAGGCAGATGTCCAACAACAGATGAATGAATAAACAAAATGTAATTATGCCCATACAATGGAATATTGCTTGGCAATAAAAAATAAAATACTGAGCTACACTACAACAAGGATGAACCTAGAAAATATGCTAACAAAATAAACCTGTCACAAAGAACCCATATTGTACGACTCCATTCATATGAAATGTCCAGAACAGGAAAATCTATAGAGACTGGAAGTAGACTGATGGCTGCTTGGGGTAGTCGGCGGGGGAGGGGGGCTAGAGGGGTTGGAAGAAGCTGAAGTGACTGGTAATGGGTATGAAGTTTCTTTTTAGAGTGATGAAAGCATTCTAATATTGATCATGGTGAAATTGCACAGCTTGTTGAATAGACTAAAAAAACCACTGAGTTGTACACTTTAAATGGATGAATTTTAATGGTATGCAAATATCTTCACAAAGCTGTTTTAAGATAGAGATAGATAGATAGATAGATAGATAGATAGATAGATAGATAGATAGATAACAGATCTATAGAGAGATGGGGGGAAGATTTAGGAGGTGAATTTCAGTCTGGGAGGCTCAGGACGACAAACGCAAAGCAGAGCTCTTTGAGGACTTGTTGCCAAGCAGGGGTATGAGGGACCTTAGCTAAAGCCTGAAACCCAGTCATGAGAATAGAGGTGCCGGATGGGAACAGAACCCTTCACAAGCAGTGCAGTCTAAGGTCAGGATTGCTCCAAATTCTGCAGTGCAACCCGGCTCACGCAAGGGATCAAGTGGACGTAGCTGTCAGAAACGGAGGTAAGAGGATGTCAGAGTGAGGTTGGACCCTGTGTCAGACAGAGCCTTCTAAGCAGGGTCAGGGAAATGGTGTGCCTGGCAGGTGGCAGGCAGCTCAGCACATCGGCCCTGTATGGCAGAAACATGCCCTGGGCTCTGCAGTGTAGATATCAGCTGGCACACTCAGTGGACACCAATTCAGAGACACTCAGCTCTTTCTGTGGAGTCTGGGGAGAGGTAAGGGCTCCTGGAGTGTTAGATGTCTTGAAGGTATGCCTTTTTGTGGGGCTCAGCCTGCCCAGAATGAATTGCTGGCCCAGGAATCCTGCTGCTGGCCTGGATGCCTGTAACACTGGCAGTGTCTGGCACATACTGTGGTCATCATTCACCTGCCCCAGCCTAGGTCTACCCCTTAGCCAGTTACCTCTGGATACTCAGTTTGGGTTTAAAGCCCTAAGGGTGAGCAGCACATCTTTTGTGAGACAGAAAATGAGAGCTCGCCTTTGCCGTGCCCTTCCCCACCCTCCATTTCTACAGACCTCTCACCTGAGGGGGGCAAGTGGCTCCCCTCTGCCTATTCCAGCTCCCAAGACCAGTCGAGTGATGACAGTCCAGCACCAAGCACCAAGTCCCTCATTAAGTCCTCACAGATGAGGAAACAGAGGGTCAGAGAGATGGAGTGAGTAGTTCATAATCCCACAGTCAGTAAGTGAGGGAGCCAGAACTACACCTTCAGCCACATGTGGTAGCAGCAGGCACTGATGCCACCTGCCCAGGGAGAGCTGACCTATGGCTGCAAGCCTCCTCAGTCAGTTTCATCCCTCACTCCTGGCGTCAGGCTGGATCCTCTCACCTGTGTTGTAACCACAGTGAGTGAGGGGAACAGTAAAGGGTCCTGTGGGGACAGAGCAGGGTGGGTGCACAGGCCCCAAGGAAGCTCTGTGGATCTGCGGTGGCACCAGCGACACTCTCAGGGTCAGTGGTCAAAGCCTCCTGATGTCCAAAGCCATATGGCTGCACAGCACCTCAAGGGAAGCTGGAAAGAGACCAGGAGACAAGTGATTCTCTAGGCCTGGGGCTCTGCTCTGAGTTGTCTGGAGGTGGTCACCGGCAGAGCCCATGGGCTGGCTCTAAGTGACAATGACTTGAAGTCTGCCAGTGGTTAAACAACTGGGTCTAGAAAGCAGAAGTAAAGAAATTTAAGAAAGGGGACTGAATGCCTATAAGCCTTAGCAGTATACCATAGTCCAGCTAAGGCCGCTACTGGGTGGTATTCCAGGAAGGACTGGAATTCCAGCTCAACCTCTGAGGTCACTTGAAAAATCTGGAAGCAAAAAGAGCTCCCTCAGCAGGTTGTTGTCCAGTTTATCTTTCTGCCAGAAATCAGGACCAGCTATCAGGGCCCCAAGTACAGCTGATCCCAAGGAAAAGTCCCAAGGTCTGTTCTGTGCATCACTGTTTATCAGTCCAAATAGTGAGTTCCTAGACAGGCTGGAAGAAATGATGCGGAAGGGAAAGTCATGGCAATGTAGGAACAAAAGCCAGATTGGCACATCTCTGATACCAAAGAAAAGAGCAGATGAAACTGCCCCAATGGAAAAGTACCCCAGGCCAGGGATCCTGACATGCAGGAGGGAGTAGATCCTCCAGGTGGGCTGGAATGGGCCAGGAGAAAGGCACACTCTAAGCTCTGGAACCAGTTTTGGGAACGGAAAACCCAGGACAGGGCTCCCGGTGACCCTTTGCTAGGGAAGTGGAGAGGTGGCCATGCATAGATGACAGTGGGCCACCAGGAGGTTTTGTGACTCCAGGAACAGGCATTCATTCATTAATTGGTTCACCCAAAATGATCCATTCAGGGCCTGCTGATCAGGACAGGGGGATGAAACAGGGTGTCAGCAGACAAGCTCCTTGCTATTACGAAGTTGATGATCTAGCAAGGGAAACACGTCAATCAGAGAGGCACAGGCAGAAACACACCATCACAAACGGGGCTCTTCCATGAAGGAAAGCAACACAGTGCTACAAAAACCAACATGTCATAAGGGAATGTGGCCAGTGGGCTCAGGGAAAGAAACACTAAGATGAAATCTGGAGGGCAAGGCTGAGGCAGGTGAAAAACGCGGGGAAGAGTCCCAAGCATAGAGGCAGCCATCACAGTTGCAATGACCTTGCAGAGGAGAGTGCATAGACTGTATTTAAAGAGGGCAGCAACAATGCT